GAACGAGGAGGATGCTACAGACGCGGTGGGGACATACCAGCAGCCCCCTCCGGCAGATGCTTTCGACACCGAGACACAGGGGTACCAAACGCAGAACTACTGAGCCACCAATGCCCCTTTCCCTTCCCCCTTCCCTTCTGCCCCCTTTCCCACTGCCGGCAGAAAGCCGAGGCACAAACCAGACACGTGCGTAGTAGCACAAGAGGTGGCTCTCAGCTATGCTCCAGCCTTCTGGGTCATCTGTTTTTATTTATCGTTTTTAAAAAAGGAAAAAAAAGAAAAAAAGTTTTCCCCATCACCTCTTCCTTCTCCTCCCCCCAAAATTACCTGCCAGAATGAAATTCTTCCAAAATCTGTCACCGCATTGCGGCAGAAAGGTCCCCCCTTCCCTCCTCTCCCTCCTGCCTTGCTGCAGAGGGCAGAGTCTGGCTGGTGGGCAGGAGAGGGGCAATGGCCCCAGCAGGGCAGGGGAGAGGGTGCTGGAGGCAGAAGGAAAGGGGTGAGAGGGACCAGGGACCTTCCTAGGAGAGACACTGTCACTAAAGGCTGGAGTACATGTGGGAGCATCCGAATCGGGCCGGAGGGCCTGGTGGCTCAGGGAGGGGGATGGTGTTGGGAGTCAGCATGCAGGCGTGCAAGGGTGGAGGGGGGGCTGGAGGGGAGCGGGAATGGCGTCCCCTGTGCAAAGACAGGGGGGCTTTTCTCTCCCGCCCACTAGTGAGGGAGGGGTGCTTTATTTTTAGAGAGTTTGGGGAGAAGTGGTATTGGGAGGGGGGAGCACAAAGATAAAATGGGAAGGGAAGGAGGAAGATTTGCAGGTACAATCAAAAACCACAGGCACGTCTGTAGGTTACAGTAAGAGACTGGGCAGAGCAGAAAGGCAGTGCCATGAGAGAGCCAGTCCCTCCCCAGCCCCCTTGGATTGAGGTGGAGGTGGTTCCCCTCTCCTGTACGTCCTGCTCGCCACTCTCCTCAGACCAGTGTTTGGTGAGGCGAGAGGGCAGCCATGCCCAGTCCCTGGCCCCCAGCCGCAGTCCCTGTGGGAAGAAGGATGGAGGAGGTGGGCTTCTAGGGGGCCCTGAGAGCCCTCGTCCCCAGCTGGGCTGGTTCGAGGGGGAGAGGAGAGCTTTGCCACTTCACCCTGGGGAGGAGGGGGAGAAGAAAGCCAGTTTCACTCCTCAGGTCCTGCTGACTGCTGATCCTCTGCTACCACAGTGCAAAGCCTCTTGCCGACACTACCTTTGTAGCACGCAGGAATGGAGCAGGACTCCCCCAGGAAAGAAATACCGCTGCTGGGATGGCCAGCGTGCGTCTGGCTCTTGCACAGGGGTGCAACCAAGCGGGGAAGGGTCCTGCCCCACGCGGCTGCGCTTTGCCTCCCACTGGGGTGGGGAGGAGGTCTTAGTGCGCAGAGAATTGGTTGGGGCCAGACTGAGCTCTCTGAAAACTGGTCTTACTGTACTTGCCATAGATTATATCTTAGTGTGTCCTCTGCAGAATCCTAAATCCTGGCTGTCTTTAAAGCCTCACCTAGATGGCGGTAGTGACTCTCAGACAGAGCTCATATGGATATCATTCCACACTCCCCGTGATTTTGCTTCAAGTAAAGACATAGCTCTGGAAGCACACTGTTTATTCCAGGATAGAAGTAATGTCTATGCGTGAAGACAGTCCCTAAAGGGAAACAATTCAGCAATAGCCACCTGGACAATTCTTCCCAGCACAGACATCTCTCAGAGCACAAGAAGCAGGGTAGGCCTCGCAACAGTGAGGAGCTCCATCCCCTGGGCAGCCACCCTGCTCCACGCAACACTGGCCCCAGTAGCAGAGGTCAGGAGCAGATCCAACATCCATAGGTGCTTCCCTTGAGCATGCAGCCTATTCTCCGTAGCACCCTTAGGAGTCAGGAGGACGGGACATAGGTCTGGCCTGTGGTTGTGTAAACATCTGTTCTGGAGGACACCGAGGTTACCAGTCCTTCCCCTCCTCCCAGCATGACTCCTCTCCACCTGCCCCACAACGACGGGGAAGGGGTAGAAAAACATCGAGCTGCAGGCCCCAAGAGGGAAGGGGGGGCAGTTGTTCTCCGCTGTATATAGGCACCGTTTCTACCTGCTCCCACCAGCAGACTTGTGCTGCTGGTGGCTCTCCCCATGGCTTGTCCTCCCCATGGCTTGCCCCCCCTTGCTGGTGGTTAACCACTGGTGAGGATGGGAGAGGGGGACCAGCCAGCCCCGCGGACGCACCAGGAGGGACTGGGCACACATCCCTTGCTCTGTGGCTGTGAGTGAAAGCAATACTGTAAATACGAGGGGTATTTTTTGGAGGGAAGCCCCTTGGGCTTCTTTTTCTGTGGGCTTAGCCTAATATTTAGGCTTGGGAGGGGGTTACTTTATTGAGAGAGGTTCGTTATGACTGTGGCTGTGGGGGGAGCTCCCTCCAGTTCATCTCTCCTGCCGGGGGAAAGAACGAATGACGAGGTGGAGGAGGAGAAAAACCAGTTGTACTCACCCAGACTCATCTTTGTCACCCTTCATGCTTTTGTTTTGGGTGTGTGGAGGAGGAGGCTATAAATAACCAGCCCTCAGCACAAAAATGTGTTGTACTTTTGGGAGGAACTGCCCATCACCTGTCCCCTCTCCTTAGTGAGTGGGTGAGGGACCAGGTGCATGAGGAGAGATATGGACCATACATGGGGGTCTATCTGGGGCTCTGTTTTGGAGTGTAGCACAGAAGCATCTTACATGCTCCTACTCTCATCAGAGTTACGTAGATGGCTAAACACCATTTGGGGCTGACTAATGAGCAAGCTTTTCTTTATCCTCTTTGGCTTGCTTCCCTCATATAACCAGCTGATGGGCTCTGATGGGCTTGAGGTAGGAATGAGCCTCCCCCTCAGAGCTGGCACTTCAGTGAGAGATGAGCCAGGTGGCTTCATCCTGGGTTACTGCCCATCTCTCTGTCCCTTTCCTCCTTGCTTTGTGTCATACGAAAGGCATCGGTGTGGCAGGGGACACTGTAACAGTAGATACTCGGGCAACTTCTTGTTTTTGCTCATGGGAGAAGGCATACTCTGCTTGGATTGACTTGCTTTTAGCCTTTGCAGTGGAGGGTTGGTGGTGACAGGCCTGGTGGTGGGACTCTCCTTGTCTGCATGTAGCTCTTTAAAATGCAATTCCCAGTGGCATTTGGCTGGTTCTGCAGCTGATGAGAGATACAGACCTAGCCAAAGGGTTGGTTATCTTATCTTATCTTAGGCACTTCTGATAAGGTGCTGCCTATTTCTGGTGATCGTAGGCAAGACCTGAGCAGCTGGCTGGAACATGTCCCTTTTAGATCCTAAACGTGGGTGAGATCAGCCCCACGCTAGGGATTAGGAGATCAGAGGGAAGGCTGTATAAGCGAAACGATAAGGCGGCTTTCTTCCCCCTCTGCCATTTGTCTGGATTACAGAGGATTATGCATCCCCTGTTGGGAGCAATGGCCCCTTGATGTCTTCTTATCTTACGAAGCCCCCAAGTAAGGGACTGTTTTGTGGAAGCAGGGGCTGTGAATGGCAAAGGGATGATGAAACTTTGCCCCAGTTCTACCTGTGGCTTCAGTCTCCTGACATGTCCCCATCCCCGGCTCACTCACGTCCCCACCGCACTGTTCATCACCTCATCACACACCCTTCCCCTCCACGTTATTCCTGGCGGTTCCCTCAGGGGAGGAGGTGTCTTTGTCCCTGCACCCTCACAAGCACTTGGGAGGACCCGGGAAGGCAGCGTTGCGGAGTGGTTCCCGCAGGAGTCTCGGCTCCGGTCCTCAGAGCAGGTACAAGGCAAGGAGCCCAGCAAGGCCACCTCATGCAGCAACTCCAAACCATCCATCCAGACAACTCCCTGCTGCCTGCGTGGCATCTGTAACACCACCTGGGCTGCCCTGCCCCTTCCCTCGCCGCATTACTGCCTGTGTATAGTATATATATTATATATATATATTTAAAAAGATGTATAATATAAAGCTATACATATATACGTATATACGATGACTCATGGATGGCCTGCCGCATACAGGATCCCCTGAGTGGTCTTGTCTAAGCCCGAGTGTCCCTTCACCCCTCCTCCCCCTCTGCCCCTCGCCCCCGTCCGTTCCGAAATCCAACTACAGCGAACCCCGCCACCTCGGCACCTGTGTTTACAATGTCCTATATATTTGTGGTTAACAAAGTGAAGGTGGTAACTACTGGTGTCTCAATAAAGTTATGACGTTCAAAATAACCAAACTATATGAAAAAAAAACGGTCTGGATTTTCTTCTTTGTGGAGGGATGGCTTTTTTTAGCTTGGTTTGCTACAAGAGCACAGCTCCTGTGCTCCTGCACGGCCGCGTGGCAAATTTAGTGACAATTGGTGGCTTGAATGGAGGAAAGAAACCTAAAGAACTGCCCTTACTGAGATATATATTTCAGGGGGAGCTAATGGTTGCTCGCTTTGCTTGGCCCAAGTTTCAAATCGCACACCGTCAAGTGTCTCTTTCTTACCTCATCAGGAGGAAAACATGGGAGGGAGCTTAACGTGCCATATTAGAAGCGGACTCTCATTGTGATAGGGATATGGCTACAGGAGGTGTGGATGGGGGACATCCAGGAATCTAGGATACAAACCGGTATGAAAATAAACATCAGTATTTCCACACCCGGGGAAGCAGATCTGTTTATTCCTTTGATGTGTCTTTACCTCCATTCATCTGTGTGTGACCATTGCTCGGGTGTCTGGCATAGTACACGCTTTCAAAGCATAACCAAATACTGGGAAACAAGAGCTCTCGGGGCGCTGCTGACAGCGGGCGTCAGTAATTGATAGCCCACCATGAAAAAGGATCTCATTTCAACTGGCTCTGCAATAAAAATAAAATTCAAAATCCTATCCTGTGCCGATGCTTCGGTAAAGCTTCCTCCTCATCCCCCTTTACGGAGCCTGTCACCCGAATACCCGAGTACCACGTTTCCCAACCCTCCTGCAGTTTGAGGACGTTAAGCAGAGGCACGTAATGGCGAGCGGGCTGTATCCAGTCATCCAAACGGTCTCCCCTTTCGGGGACACGACTGAGCACACGCACGCTGTAGCTTCATGTCATATTATATGCAAAAGTGTTGACGTATCCATCTGTTTCTTGATTAATCTTTGTTTGGACAAAGACCCTTCCTACAGTCCTAGCTTTTGGGGTGGAAGTGCCGTGGAGATAATCATGCCCACAGAAAGGCAAATGTCTGTGTTGGGACAG